AATTCCATGCGTACATGCAATACATCTTGTATTATTCCATTGTTTTTAGTGCTTGTAACTGCTAAATAAGCCACCGTGGGCCCAAAGAAGCTTCTAGTGCCAGCCCTGTGGTAAAGAGGGTGAGAAACGCTCTAGAATTCAAGAGATCCTCGCAAAATACGAAAGTGGAGTGCTTGTGTCTGAACTGGCCAGGTTGCATAACAAACCCCATACAACCATCGCTTCTGTCTTGGCCAAGAAAAAGGCAATCAAGGAAGCTGTTGTTGCAAAAGGTGCAAATATGCTTACAAAACAGAGATTGCAAATACTCAAAGATGTGAGAGACTGTTGTTGGGGTGGATCAACAACAAACAATTATCAGGAGAGTGTTTCACAGTCACTTATATGTGAAAAGGCAAGGCAGTTGCATGTAGATCTCATTAAGAAAATGCATGGAACTAGTGCTGATATTGATGAATTTAAGGCTAGCAGAGGCTGGTTTGAGAGATTTAAGAATCGTAGTGGCATACACAATGTGGTAAGGCATGGTGAGGCTGCCAGTTCTGACAACAGAGCAGCTGAAGCGTATGTGCAGGAATTTAAGAGGTACATAGAGGCTGAACAATTAAAACCCCAACAAGTGTTCAATTGTGACAAAACAGGCCTGTTTTGGAAGAAAATGCCAAACAGGACCTACATTACTCAGGAGGGAAAGGCACTCCCAGGACACAAGCCTATGACAGACATGTTTTGTAGTAATGCTAGTGGGGATTGCAAAGTGAAGCCTTTACTCGTGTATCACTCTGAAACTCCCAATGTGTTCAAGAAAAATAGTGTCAAGACTAAATTGTGTGATATAGAGAGCAAACAGTAAGGCATGGGTCACAGGGGACATTTCTTAGATTGGTTCCATGATGTGTTTGGGCCCAGTGCAAAAAAATACCTCCTGGAAAATAAATTGGAACTTGAGTACCTCCTGGTATTAGACAATGCTCCTGCTCATCCTCCAGACTTGGAAGAGCGGATGGTGCCGTAGTTTAGTTTCATCAAATTGAAGTTCTTGCTCCCTAACACCACTCCTCTCCTCCAGGCCATGGACCAGTAGGTCATTTCAAATTTCAAACAACTGTACACCAAAGCAGTACAGTGGCCCCTCGTTTTTCGTAGTTAATCTGTTCCTGGAGTTGCTACTATTATCGAAATCTACGTTTTTCGAATCAATTTTCCCCCATAAGAAATAATGTAAATACAATTAATCCGTTCCTGACACCCAGAAGTATTAAAACAAAAAAAATTTTTACATGAAATATAGATGTAGTACATAAACAATACAATGGGAAATGATGAATGAAACATTAACAGCATAACACTTACCTTTATTGGAGATTCTTCTTAGTGTGTGGAAGACTGGAGGAGGAGAGAGATTGGATTGTTTACAGTTTGGAAGGGGAATCCCCTTCCATCAACACCTCAGGTACCAATTGCTTTTCTGGGGTTACTTCTTTTGTTTCTTAATGCCACTAGGACCACCTTAAGAGTCACTGGAGTCCTGTCTCGCAAAATAACGGTGGAGAGAGCTCTGTTTCTGGCGTCTCTTTAACACTTCCCTAAAATGGCCCAAGACTTTGTCACTGTACATGTTGCCAACATGGCTTGCAACAACCTTGTCAGGGTGATGTTTCTCCATAAAGCTTTCCATCTTACCCCACATAGCAAAAATCTCTAATTTCTGAAGAAGGCACCTTCTTCCATCTCTCTCCTTCCTCTGTAGCAAGATTCTGAGCTGCATCTGTTGCTGTTCCTGCTGAAGCTCTTGCAGCTCCTCAGTGGTGAGCTCTTCGTTGTGGTCTTCCACCAACTCTTCCACATCCTCCAAACTCGCATCCAACCCCAAGGAACTCCCAGTGCCACAGTTGATTTAACAACAGACATAGCTTGGCACCAGGAGCTTTCTTTGGAGCCATGGTAGCTTACAAGCACTAAAATGAGTGAAATATTATGAAATATTTCATAGGAGCACGTGAGGGGACCTTCGCTTACTGGTAAACAATGCCAGACTGGCTGGGTAGGGAGGCTGCCCCGGCTCACACAGTACGTACGCGTCCCAGACGAACTACTATTCGCGAGTCAACCTATGATTAGCGAGCCCATGTTTATACGAAAATATCCCTATGATTTCCGAAATCTATGATTCCTGAGAACTACGAAAAACGAGGGACCACTGTATTTCAAAAGTGCATTGAAGTAATCTCAGACACTGAATTGACCCTAAGAGAGTTCTGGAAAGATCACTTCAGTATCCTCAGTTGCATAAACCTTATAGGTAAGGCTTGGGAGGGAGTGACTTCAAGACTTTGAACTCTGCTTGGAGAAAACTGGGGTGAGAATGTGTACAAGAGAGGGAATTTGAAGGGTTTGAGGCTGACCCTGAGGAGGCTATACCAGTTGTGAAATCTATTGTGGCATTGGGGAAGTCCACGAGGTTGGAGGTTAGTGGCGAGAATGTGGAAGAGTTGGTGGAGAATGACGATGAATAGCTAACCATTACAGAGATGTAAGAGCTTGAGGTGCAGCACCAACAGACCACAGCTAAGGAATTTCCTTCAGAGGAGGAGGAAGAGAGATGGAGGAAGTTGCGTTTTTCAAAGATTAAGGACATTTGTGCAAAGTGGACTGAAGTGCAAACATTTATGGATGAACATCACCCTGACACAGCTGTTGCAGGCCATGCTGGCAACATCTACAATGACAATGTTGTGTCTCACTTTAGGGAAATCTTAGAGATACCAGAAACAGAGCTCTCTGGATAGATTTTTGGTGCGACAGGGGACCAGTGACTCTCAAGCTGGTCCTAGTGGCATTAAAAAACAAAGAAGGGAGGTAACCCCGGAAAAGGGCTTGGTACCTGAAGCCTTTATGGAAGGGGATTACCCTTCCAAACAATTGTAAGCTCCTCCATCCTCTTCCATTCTCCTATCTCATCACTCATCAATACGTCTTCAATAAAGGTAAGTGTCATTTTATTATTTATTTATTTATTCTGCATGTCTCATTGCTTTCTGTGTAGGGAAATGTATATTTCATGTATGAAAGTTAAGACATTATGTGCAACATCTGGATATCTTTATTGTAGACATTTTGCCGTCCATTGGCTTTATCAATACATTCAAATTCAAAGTTTATTCTCTATAAGGATTGCAATGCTGAGTTTACAGAATTTGGTTATTGTGTGGTTTACATGAGTAAAATAATAATTACAGAGTGTACCACTAGAACACCTAGCATGGCTAGGCATTTCGGGCAGACTTATTTTAAATCTAAGTTTAAAATGTTACAAAATTATGAGGCAAGTTGGTATTATGGATAAGTGACTAAATACTAGTTTGTGAGTTTAGCAGTGTGAATGCTTTTGTTTTGGCACTATACATAGTTTCAGTATTGGAGTATCACAAGCCAACTTATGACTAGTTAAGATTCATTATTTTGAGATTGAGATTGATATTTCTGTTTATGGTCAAATGGGTGAGTGAGTGTAAGTGTTAACCACCAGGTGGTATTCGTGTAATTAGTTGACAGGGTGTATCAGGGAGATAAGATGTTTTATGATGGTAGTTTTGAAGGTGATGAATGTGTCTGCAGTTTTAGAATTTTCAGGTAGGGTGTTCCAGATTTTAGGGCCTTTGACATACATTGAATTTTTGTAAAGGTTTATTTAGTAGGACACAGGGAATGTCAGAGATGTTTGTGTCTGGTGTTGTGCCTGTGGGTTCTGTCACAACTATCAAGAAAGCATTTTAGGTCAAGGTTAATATTGGAATTTAAGGTCCTGTAGATGTAGATTGCACAGTAGTAAGTGTGGATGTACTGAACAGGGAGTAAGTTTAGATCTATGAAGAGTAGGGGGGGGGGGGTGTTGCCAGGGATGGGATTTAGTGATTATTCTTACTGCAGCTTTTTGTTGGGTTATTATTGGCTTTAGGTGTGTTGCTGCAGTTGAACCCCAAGCACAGATAGCATAGGTGAGGTATGGATATATAAATGAATGGTATAGTGTGAGAAGGGCAGTTTGCGGCACGTAGTATCGTATCTTGGAGAGGATCCCAACCATTTTGAATACTTTTTTGGTTATGTGTTGGATATGGGTGCTGAAGTTCAGGTTGTTGTCGAGGTATAGGCCTAGGAATTTGCCCTCATTATGCCTGGCAATTAGAGTGTTGTCGATCTTAATGTTAATTTGCGATCTCCTGCTCTGCTACCAAACATAATGTAGTAGGTCTTGTCAGTGTTAAGCGTAAGTTTATTGGCTGTCATCCAAGTCGATATTTTGATCAGCTCCTCAGTAACAATGGTGTTGAGGGTGGCAAGATTAGGGTGAGAGATGACATAAGTCGTGTCGTCAGCAAAGAGAATGGGGTTCAGGTGTTGAGATACGTTTGGAAGATCAATGATGTATATGAGGAAGAGCAGGGGACCAAGGACACTTCCCTGCGGAACTCCAGTATCTAGTATCCAGTATCTAGGACATAATAGAAGTTCTACTGTCTTCTATTATGTCCTAGAATCTGTATTGATAAAGCCACTGGATGGCGAAACATCTACAATAAAGATATCCAGATGTTGCACATGTGTCTTAACTTTCATATTGTCAGTATTTTGTACCTTTCTTGCACATATATTTCATGTAAAAAAATTACTTTGTTTAATACTTTTGGGTGTCTGGAATGGATTAATTGGATTTCCATTATTTCTTGTGGGGAAAATTAATTCGGATTACAACAGATTCGGTATAAGACACACTCTCTGAAACGGATTAATGTCGTAATCTAGGGGTCCACTGTAGTTGGGCCAATATTCTTCTAGTGGGTTGGATTGTAAAGGACCTACCCAGTATGGGCCAACAGGCCTACTGCAGTGTTCCTCCTTTCTTATGTTCTTAGTAGTGAGACATACTAATGTCAGTGAGGTAGTGATACACCAGTGTGTCAGCATGCAGAGCCTAGGCTAGCCCAGGGTAGGCTAGCCTAGTAGTGAGACATAACTTCAATGAGGTAGCGATACACCAGTTTGTCAGCGTGCAGAGCCCTGCAGGGAAGATCATACATTAAATTCTGTTACTGAACATTGACAAGTATTCATTACACTTGTGTAGACAAATGATTCAAAGCACCGACAAGTTGATAAATTAGACACATGTAATACTTAGGAATCTTTACTGTGGAGATGCTTTGCCACACAGTGGCTTCATCAGTCCTCTTCAAAGAAGAAATGTTGGAGATCCGAAAGAGTTTGAGGTAATCAGTCCCTCAACCTGGAGTCGATGTAATCAGTCCATTCTTACCAAGATTGACGACTGATTACGTCAACTCTGGGCTGAGGGACTGATTACATCAAACTCCTTGTGATAAACATTTCCTCTTTGTATTTGATGAAGCCACTGTGTGGTGAAATGTTTCCACGAAGTTACACAAGTGTTGCACATGTATTCACACTTTCTTTAGTTACTCATTAAGTACTGTAGCTAAAAAATGTTAACTCTAATCAAAGTAATTTTATAAAAAATATAAAATTGATTGCTAAAAAGAGGGATCATTGTCATGTGTAGCATTTTACCACAGGATGAACTACCAATAGACCACAATGAGCAGTTGGGGTATATAGCTATATATGGTGGCCCGTGGCCTGGTAGGCAAAGCTCTCGCTGCACACAGTGAGGGGGTCTGGGTTCGAAACACTAGGAGTGTTTCCTTACACTGGTTGTTTATGTTCACCCATTTAATAAAATGGGTACCTGGGTGTTAGTGGACTGGTGTGGGTCGCATCCTGGGACAAAATTGACCTAATTTGCGGGAAATGCTCAGCATAAGGGGCTCTCTATATAGTAGTATGTCATTGATGTCAGTCAGGTCTGTATACCTTGCATATGTACAGTACTTGTAGAAATTATTATTATTATTATTATTATTATTATTATTATTATTATTATTATTATTACAGTATTTGAGCATAAAGGTGTAGTGAGTCTGTCTTTAAATTTAAAAAGTGGACTAATTGTTAAAGAATTAGTAAAAAAAAATGACAAGAAATTTGGTAATGAAAGGAGGTCTAGAGTAATTGGTATAAATTGTGGGAGAGAGAAATACTCCATAGTAATTGTAATTCCATTCACTGATGACTGGAATCATTTCTGTAGGAAACATGATGTGTATGATATGTGTATGACATGTGTATGATATGTATGACAGCACTGTCAGGGAAGTGGCAGCAGTGTTAGCTAGTGAGCTGATGAACTGTATCTTCAGAGTGACGGAAGTTGCAAGTACAGCCTCTCCTCACTTAACGACGGAGTTCTGTTCCTAAGACCACGTCGTTAAACGAATTTGTCAGCAAGTGAGGAGCATATTATAATGGTAGTGGGTTTGTCAACCACCACCTCCACCTCTACCACTAGCAACCATCTTTGATATTGTTTTAATGTCACCTTTGCACCATTTATATTTCTGGTATATTTTTAAATGTTTATACAGTAGTGTACTGTATATTGAAATAAACAGAATAGAGGAAATCAGCTGTAATATACATTATTTAGTTCTAAATACTGGTCAGAGAGCTCGTCGTGAGTCTGAGGCATCGGTAAACGAGTACATTGCTAAGTGAGGAGAGGCTGTATGCATGCAATTATGAGGCAAGTACACTTCCAACTTGAGTGTGTGTACTCACCTAATTGTGGTTGCAGGGGTCAAGTCATAGCTCCTGGCCCTACCTCTCTGCTCTTTGCTACTAGTTTCACTCCCCTGGCTGCGTTAGCTCTATTATGTATGTTCTTACCATACAATATTATGAACACAAACTTACCATACAAAGTCAATGTGAGAGAAACGAGGTTCGTGCACACGATGGTTGTAAACTAAGTTAGGTAACTCGCCCACCAGATGCAACACATCCTGTCGGGAAATAATATACAACCAAGTTAGATTTTGTATTCCCATAACATCATAATTTAATACCTGACAAGGTTGAAAGACGTACACAAGTAACAATGACTGGGTATCTTTATTACGTGGATGTTTCACCCACCAGTGACTTTACCAATACAGGGGCAAAAAGAGAAGACTGAAGAGGTTGAAGACGAGGTAATCAGTCTCTCAGGCCTAGCAGCCTAGCCAGTATAAGATTTTCAGCCACATAATTCTTTTAGGGCAACTAGTCATTTTATATTAATTTTCATTTATTTACACACACACACACACACCACCACACACACGTGGGTCCGTGGGGTGAGGCGTGGGTAACAAGGCTCCTGAGAACTTAGCGTTGAAATGACGCGTATTATCAGCTAGATGTAATCAGTGGTAGTGGAACGTCAGAGAAAATACTCGAGTGATATTAAAGTTATTTGTTTAAAGAAAGTGAGAGTGTAACGACGTAAATCATATATTTCAAAGCGCAAACCGTTGGGGGTCTTAGGCGCTGTTGCCACTTTGGTAGCGGAGGCCTGATGAAGTGACGATCACGACAAGTTGTGTGCCCATTCATACATATAATGAAGTGAAGGTATATAATATGAAAGGTATACAATCTTCAGTGAAGAGTGAAGTGAGGAATAGCTGGAATTATATGGTTATAATCATCACGGGTGAAGGATCTCAAAATAGGGATTTAGGCCTACGTACGACTACGTCATGGCGCTGGCAACTGTCAACGCAAGTTTATTAGCTAGGTTGTGGTTTGCATGTTGACGGACATGGCTGGGCCTTGTATATGTTGTTATGGGTCACTCACTCACTGCAAGTTATTACAGGAATTAGATTAGAATAGCATAGACATAAGAAGAATATAGTGTTGACGAGGTGAGAAGTAGGTGGGACAACGCTTTTTAAGGGCAACATTGTTAAGTCGGTGCTAGGGTAGGTCCCAGGAGAGTTGTCAGGTCACAAGAAGTTGGGCCAGTACTACACGCACAGGACTCTCACACCCACCACACCACACACACACACAACACACACACACACACACCACACATCACTCACACACACACACACACACACACCACACACACACACACACACACCCACACTCTACACACACACACGCTACACACGCACACCTGGCGTGTATACCGGTAGTTATTAGCTGTAAGAATATTAGGAAGCTACGGATGTATTCTCTATCTATGTGAACATGGAAAATGATAATAACCAGCAACAATTAAACCGTAAATCCAGAAGGGCAATAGTGGAGAGTGTGAGATAATTGGAAAGATAAATGAGGACTAAATGTGTGCCTTTCGACGGTCCTTTCAATACACACCCCCACCATAACCCTCCCTCCTCCACTCCCAAGCAACAAACTAAGGGTAGACCTCAAACACACACACAACACACAACACATACTTACAAACACACACACTCTACACACACACAACCACACACACTCCTCACACACACACACACACACCTCCGCCACTTGACCAACCCATAAACTTGACCCCCCCACACATATATAACCCACGGTAAACTCCTTCCCGTAACACCTCTCCGTATAGCCACCTACCCCCCCCAAACCACCTAAACCCGCCCCAAACCGTTTTACCCCCCGCCCAACTAAATCACGACTCCATTAACCATCCTCCCCCTCCCCATTACCCATTCCATCCCCTTCTTCCCCCATACCAGCGATACTCACCTCCCCAAAAATATCTCTGCCCCTCCAATATCTCTTCTTCCCACTCCCCCACAACCATCCATCCCTCTCCTAACCTTCTATTCCCTCCCCTACTCAGGATCGAGGACAAGGGCCTCCAAGGGAACGAATCTGAGTGGGAGGATGGGAGATAGAGACTCCAAAAAAGGGAGGAAGGAATGGGGAAGAGAGACTAGATGAGCCGGAAAGGAATGATGGAAGTGAGGTGAGCTGCAGAATGCAGTAGGTGGTAGCAACAGGCCCACAGCAGCAAGAATACAAGTTAGAGAGATTAGAAGAGGAGGCTGAGACATTGTAACTGCACTGAGACAAAGAATTAAGATGTAGCTCGGCAATGGCTACATCGAACACAGACATCAGGTCCGAAGGAAGATGGAAACTAACTGTATGCAGTGGTCATGTCAAAACCACATGGGCCAAAACAAAGACAGGGGAGACTCTAGGACAGAAGAGAGGTTGGAAGGGCATGATGGAATTGTACATGTGCAAGGACCTTACCAGATACCTGTGGGGGCCAGGAGCAGGTGTGCAGGAGAAGGATATAAACCAAGAAGCATTAGGGGCCATAACGAGGGAAGGGACTGAAGGAAGGAACACTCCACGGGAAGGAACTAAAACACATCAGAGGATGCAATGGGAGTCACAGTGGAGGTGGGAAGGAGAGATCGTGTTTGTTATGGGCTAGGACGAAGCTAAAGGAAACTTTGATGAAAGAAAGCAGGAGGGATGACAAAAGCGATTGAAGAATCATGAGGGTGTAGGCGAGGGGGACATGACCCAGGTGGAATTTTCGGAGGAATTGGGTGTTCACAAAGAAAACGGAATCGGCCTCTCAAAGTAATTTTCAGCAGTAATCACCCGAAACATGATCCTGCGGAGAAAAGCACGGCTGAGAAGGCAAGCAGGGGAGTTCCGGAGTGTGTACCTTCGACGAGACAGAACAAGGACGAAAGGAAGACAATGAAAGAGAGAGTTCAAAAACGAAGGAGAAATGGGAGGAAATGAAACAAGGAGAGCAGAATAAACCCAGGATCAAATGGAAGGACAAGGCACCCCCAGAAACCCTGCAGAAGGGACTCCAGCCAACGACACCCCCAAAAAAAGGCAACTTAACATTCAAATCCAACCATCATACACCGATCCCTCTGTTTCACCCCCCGCACACAGTTACAGTATTAGAAACAGAAGTTGAACTGTTTGGTACACAACTGCAGATGATAAACGAATAAACTATGAGGGAATGCGCAAGAATGAATCATGAGAAGTCCCCAGACATCAAGCAGTTACAGAAACAAAAACTTCATGGAGACAATAAAGATGCAATCTTCCCACAGGATTACCTGATCATTGAGAAGCTAAAAGGGTAGGGGGGTGAGGTGGGGGTTGCTTGCTCGTAAAAAACAGATGGGAATTACGAGAAATGGAAGGAATGGATGGGACAGGCGAAAAGTGACTACATAGCAGTTAACTTCAGTTCTGGGGGACAACAAGGTGGTCATTGCAGTTATGTATAATCCAAACCACAGACTGCCGGAGGCCAAGATGAGGAATGTGAAGAGAGCAAACAGAGCAAGGTGGACACAACTTGCTGAGGTGGCAAGAAGAGCTCACTCCAAGCGAGCAAAGTTTGCTGTATATGGGGGATTTCAACACAGGGAGATGACTGGGAAACCTGGAGCCACATGGGGGTCCCGAACATGGAGAGCCAGGATGTTGGACGTTGGTGCTGGGAAAATATGCACCAAACATGTTAGGACACTACTCCAGAGTGAGAAGGGGTGGATGAACCAGCAAGATTGGACCTTGTGTTCAACCCCCCCTGGGCAGTCAGACATTGCGGAAATCAAGTATGAGAGGTCCCCTAGAGCTAGGCGACAAGTGGTTCTGTGGCTTTGAATAACATAGTAGATGCTGCAAGTGGTGAGAATACACAGGAGTTCGATGGGGAAAAATGCTGACATAAAAGAGGGGACTACATAGGGTTAGATGAAGAACTTCCGGCGGAGGTCAGTGGGACAGAGAATGGCAGGAAAGCAGTAAATGAAATGAGGGAATATATGTAGCAACAAAATGCAAGGAGGCAGTGGAAAAGTTCATTCCCAAGGGCAACTGTAACAACGGAAGACAGAACAGCCCCTGAGTTACCCGACGGTGTAAGGAGGCCAAAAAAAAGTGCAATAGAGAATGGAAAAAGTACTGAAGGCAGAGAACACACGAAATTAGGGAGATCAGTCGCAGAGCCAGGAACGAGGTACGCACAGGTAAGGAGGGAGGCCCAGCGCCCAGTATGAAAATGACATAGCATCGAGATCAAGACTGACCGAACCTGTTGTATAGCACATCAGGAGGAAGACCCAACAGTCAAAGACCAGGTGATCAGCTTAAGGACAGAGGTGGAGAATCCACCAGAAATGATCAGGGGTTATGTGAGGAGCTGACAGTTGATTTAAGAAGTTTTTACAGTAGAGACAGGAAGGGCTGTGGGAAGACAGCACAGAAGGGTACATCAAGAGGGAATATACAAACAAGTGTTGGTGACAATACGAACCAACCTGAGGAGGAGGTGAAGAAGCTTCTTAAGTGACCTTGACACTCAAAGGCGTTGGGACCGGACTACATCTACCCATGGGTCTTAGAGAAGGAGCAGAGATGCTGTGTGTGCCTCTAACCACATCTTCAACACAATCCCTTGAAACTGGGCAAGCTATGAGAAATGGAAGACAGCTAATGTAGTCCCCCTATTTAAGAAAGAAAGGAAACAGAAAAGAGACACTAAAAATACAGACCTGTGTCTCTGACATGTATTTGTGCAAAGTCATGGAGAAGATTATCAGGAGGAGGTGGTCGAACACCTGCGAAAGGAACAAGATTATAAATGAAAAACCAGAATGGGTTTCATGGAAGGGCAAATCTTGTATCACAATCTCCTGGAAGTTTATGATCAATTTGGTACTGAAGTTAAGACACGAGAGTGAGGGTGGGTAGTTGCATTTTCCTGGACTGCAGGAAGGCCTTTGACACAGTTCCCACAAGAGATTAGTGCGAAGTGGAGGATACGGCACACGTAAGAAAGAGGCCTGCAATGGATAGGGAATACTGACAGGGACGGCAGCAACGAGTGCATGTACGTGAAAGAGGTATTCACAGTGGGCGCAGGTACGAGCGGGGTCCCACAGGGGTTCAGTTATAGGACCAGTGCTATTTTTGATATATGTGAACGACATGATGAAGGAAATAGACT